TATCATGTCGGTCTCTTCACAATGAACAAAGGACCATCACAGTGTCCTAAGCCAGGAATGGTGAACCTTTTAGAGCTTTTAATTGTAACATGCAGCCAACCGTGGCATGCGAGCCACAGATTTGCTAACACTGCCCTAAAACATCCAGGATGAATGTTAGTCATCTGCATGAGGAAGGTGTGGCAGTGCACACGTATAATCCCAACACTCCGGGAAACTGAAGCAGGAAGCAAGACAGCAAGTTTGAGCCCAGCCTAGGCAACTTAGTGAGAATCGGTCTTTTAAAAAAGCAACAAAGGAAGCAAAGAAATGTAATGCAAATCCAAATAGTATGCATACTATGCTGTACATCAACACAGATAAAAACAAAACACAACAAAAGAAACAAACAAAAACCCTTGTACTTGGGAGGCTGAGACAGGAGGATTACTGCAAAGTCGAGGCCAGCCTGGGTTACACAGTGAGTTCAAGGCCAGCCTGCACTACTTAGGGAGCCTGTACTACCTAGGGAGACACTGTCTCCAAAAAAAGAGGCCACAGGTCAGCGAAAAGCCAGCACATGTCACCCTGTCCCTTCAGAGCCTCCTGTCTTCCTGAAGACCCAGGCCAGTACTGGCAGTGGGCAAATGGTGGGGCTGGGCCAGCGTGTGGGTGGAGATTCCCAGGTGCCTTCAGGCACTCTTGCAAGGCAGGAAGGAACAGCCACGCAGACATGTTCCTTGGGTGATAAGGGAATCGAAACTCAGGAAAGAGCTTCAGGTTAAGAGCTGTGCAATCGGGACCCATCCGGATTTCAGAAGTGACTGAAGCCAGGGGAAGGAGAAGGTGGTGGGTCAGAGAAGGCTGGTCAGGGTCTGTCTGAAAGGAGGAAGGGAGAGTCCCACGAGGAGCTGGTGGCTGAGGCGACAGGGGGTTAGGTTGGAGACGCTGGAGGTATTTAAATGCTAAGGAGACTTAGAAAGTGAGAGGGGAGGACAAAGGAGAGAAGATAAAAACTCTCAGGGAAGAGGGAGGAGGCACATTCTGCCCTGAGGGAAGCTTAGCTGGGTAGGGGCATCTCTTTCCAGTAAATGGGTGGCAAGCAGTAACTGGAATTATCCATGAGTTTGGAGACATCCATTTGAGGGCTTCTAGTTCTCACTGAAACCTCTGGGATCCTACTGCTCAGAAGGCTGGGCAGGAGGACTACAAGTTTGAGGCCAGCCTGGGCAACTTTGTGAGACCCTGTTTTAAAAACACAAACCAAGAGGAGGCGGAGTCACTGTTAACAGACAGGGTGTCAATTGAAATTTGGGGGTACAGCTCAGCAAAGGCCCTAGAAAGTTTCCTCCCGCCTTTGGCACAGGTTCCATGGGTTCTCATCGCTGCAGTGTCAGTAGCTCAGCCCAGAACAAGGCTCTCTGCCCTCGTGACCCCATTAGGGCTCCTCTCTCAGGGGCAGACACCTACTGCCCAAACTGAGGAGCCTGATGGGCGAGGCCAGGGAGGCCAGGCAGCCCACACCAAGGAGAGTAAAACTACAGGCCCAAACTGATGGATCCGAGTGGCAGAAGACCTGCAGGGAACTAGGTCATCGTCAGAAAGACCCATCAGATCAACTGAAGGTGTAGCAACAGACGGCCCTAGGGCACGTCCTCCCTTTCCTGAGGCCCAGCCTTCCCCTAAATCTGTCTCTCTCTGCCTCCAGGCCTGGCCAATCCTGCAGGATGGGCACATTTTTCCTTTAGAGGAGCTAGTAAATTCAATCAGATGGAAATCTCTCTTGTGCCTGGAGCCATCTGTCCCTTTAGGAAAGTGCCTTTGTCTATCTCTGAGCTCATCTATTCTCAGTGACTTTCAACCCAGCCCCCTGTACCCAAAACATTTCCCAGCCCGGAAAACAACATTCCCCGGCCGCAGAGTCCTAGGGACTGAGCCTGCCTCTCTCACGGCTGCAGTGCAGAGGCGCGTGAGCCTGTGATATTTTAGGTTTTTGCAAGCCTAACATCTCTGGTGCAGCTACTCAACTCCCGTGTACCCTCAAAGCAGTCACAGATAATATGTAAATGAGCCTGTACACCCAACCCTGCTGGCTTCACAAAAACAACAGACGGTGTGTGGTGGCACATGCTTATAATTCCAGCACGAGGGAGGCTGAGGCAGGAGGACTGCTACAAGTTCAAGGCCAGTCTAAGCTATAGAGTGAGTTTAAGATCAGCCCAAACTATATAGCAAGACCCTGTCCCCCAAAAAAATCAAAAAATAGAGAGCCTATGATTTGATCTCCTACTCTTCTCCCTACCTGTACTGTTCTAGTTCCCAACCCCTCTCCCACCCCCAGCCAAGCACACAGAGCACTTAGTATTTGTCAAGGACTGGCCATCTAAGGGCCTTCCTCCAAGTCTATCATGACAACCTTGTCACTGCCAAGTCCTGTCCCTCCCTTGTGTAGCACTGGATGGTCCAGCCTGGGAGAAGACAGGCAGGAAAGGCCAGGTGGGAGCTGCTGAGCTTACCCTCAGGGGACTGGAACATTCCAGGACTAAAGCCCTGTGGCCAAAACCAACAGGTTGCTCTTAATAATGGCCTTGGGCTGAGGGTGTAGCTCCTTAAGTAGCCCGGGTTTGATGATCATCACCACCACCTACCACCACCACCCCCCTAGGGAGAAAGAAAAGTGGCTTGAATGTTCTCCTCCGGTGGGAGGGTACAGAGAGCCTGCACTGTAGCTGGGATTTTAGAGCTAAGCCTGAGACTCAAGGGCACCAACACGAAATTCTAGCTTCCTGGGGACAGCATCCACAGCCCCGTGATCGTGAGTCCCAACCCAGTGCCCAGGCCCCTCTGGGCACCGTACTAAGAGCTGGGGCTCAATAAGTACTGCTCAGTTCTTAGCAGGTCTCCAATCTTCCTCGTTATACTCTTCCTATTTTCCAAAAAACCAGAAAGATTACAACCCCATGAGAGTGACCCGCCCACCTCTGAGCATGCTTTTCCCTGCGCCACAGAGAACCCTCTTTCCAGGATGAACCTGAGAAAGGGGGCCCTGGGCTGTCCTGTTCCCTGCAGGCCTGCTGCTGTTTGTCTTTGGACTTCTATGAAGTGATTATTATCGTATTCGTGGAAGTAAATAATTAAGGCTATTTACAAAGCTTTCATATGCACTCTAGACTTGAGAATATTTTCAGCCACATGGGTTCTGGGAAGACCCAGGGGTATCCAGGTCTACACACACCTGCCTCTGCTTTCAGAAACCTCGATCCTGGGTCCTCCGCACCCCACTCAGAACAGTCTGGAGAGAAGAAAACACGACTGTCTTCTAAAACGCAATGCTCCAGAAACTGATCTCAGTGAATCCCAAACGATAACAACCTCATCAAGACCACTTTCCAATCTGGGAAGAAAAGTGCTGCTTGTGTGGGTAACTTTTGTTAGCTGAAACACTTCCCACAGTGCACACTTCAGCTACTCGGACCCCAGGGCCATCCCGCAGGCATGGGTGTAAACCAGCAGGCCAAGGCCCTTCATTTAAAAATAAATGCAACTAAAGTAGCTACAATAATCTGATTTGTTGTTTCATTTAAATCTATGTCAGTTTGTGGGCTTTGTTTTTTTGTTTGTTTGTGGCAAGGTTTCTCTATGTAGTCCAGGCTGGTCTCAAACTTGTGATCCTGTCTCAGCCTCCCTAGTGCTGGGATTACTCATATGTGACACCATGGCTGGCTTTATTTAAATGTAGGTTTTAAAAGCCTGTTGTGAAAACTCAAATTCCATTCCTGTTGTCTCAGGGCATGTCTTCAGTGATACTGTTAAAGGAAAAATAAGAATTGTAAACATGTATTCAGCACTACGCAGGTGCCAGGCAACACCCTAAGTTTTCTCTCAGTCTTAACAGTTCAATGGGACGCAGGTAGATAATTCTGTTTCACAGATGGAAAAACTGAAGCACTAAGAAAAACAGAGACAGCGTGTCCAGGGAGCAGCTAAGAGTCCGTGCATGAAACCGTCTCCCCCAGAAGCAGGGGTTGGCTGTTCACTCTCTACCTCCTCAAGCCAACTACTATGCAGAGTTGGCAACTCATCCACTCCTAATGTCCTCAATTGGGTTAACAGATTGTCATCTGAAGCAAGTTTAACAGATAAATATTTAATGAATGAGCAAACAATCGTCCTAAGGAAGCTTAGCCTGCCGCTTAAAAAGGGAAAGTGGGGGAGGGGCTCTGCTCCCTGGTGACAGAGGCAGAGCCCTGGAGGGCATCAGATGCAGGCAGGGATGGGGTCCTCTAGGTCTCCTTATCCTGCTGCTGTGCAGGGTCTGTCATCCTCTTAACCACCTTCTGTCGGTCCTGCCACCGGCACCCTGAACAAAGCCTGCTGCTTAGTAGGTACTCAACAGGCAACTGGGCTGAATGGATGAGGAAGGCTCAGCCCCTGGCCCGGACCATGAGAATCACAGCCCTCGGCTCTGTCAGGAGCCCAGGGGCACCAACAGCCCCAGGAGGGCAGTCCCCCACCTGCACCTGTGCCAGAGTGCAGAGAGCCCCCCCCCCCCCACTTATCAGAATGACTCACTCCACCTACAAAGACGCAGCCACCCCCACAGTCATCTGCGGGCTCAGCTGACCCCTGATTCAGCTGATATGCAGATGCATCCCAAAAGCCCAAGGTGGTGGCCCTGCCCAACTCAGAAGGCCACATCTTTTACCGTCAGACAAGAGTCATGTCTCATTTGTGCAATTAAAAGAAGGCTTAAAACAAAGCCAAGGGAATTCTTTATGTTTCAGTAGATCTAAAAGGGCAAGGCAAGTTTTTTTTCCAGTAAAATAAGCTTTCGTGGAGGCACTCATTGGATGGTACTTGCCACATCGCTCCGGCATTTGTGTGGGGCTTCTGAGGTGCAAGTTTTGGAGAGTCCCAAACAGAAAGAACCCTGAAGCCTAAGATGGGGCCCTCCAGAACCACTGCTGGAAAGCCAGCTGTCCCCACCCCCACCAAGGCCCGCCACACTGCCCACCACGCACCTTGGATGGTTCTCTTGAAGAAAGCCTTGCAGGCCTCACAGGAGGCCACGCCATAGTGGTAGCCAGAGGCAATATCCCCACACACGAGGCACAGGCGCTTGGGGATGGCGTTGAGCATGTACTCGCACTTGATGGCGGAGTCCTCCATGATGCCGCTGCCACAGTCCTCGTAGCTCTTGCGACACGGGGTGCCTCCTAGTCCCGAGCCTGGGAACATAGGCGGCGAGTCCAGCCCGTTAGCGTGGGTGCCCAGGGCCAGGCCAAAACCACCACTGGCGTCTGACGAGCCACTAGGGCTGTGGTGGCTGAGAGCATCAATGCCCGAGGACGGGCTGGATGGCTCGGTCTTGATGAAGGAGCCGCAGCTGGAGCCCAGGTGCCGATCATCTGCGGACATCCTGTTCAGCAGCCTGTGGACAGACAGCAGGGTCAGTGGATGGGGCGGGGCACCGAGGGGCGGGGCGCCAAGGGGGAGGGGCTCTAACTAAGGTTTTTGTAAAAGAAACTGGTGGCCCACATGGCCAAGTGGTACAATCCAGAGCAAGTTTCTGCCATCAAACCCAGAACTTGCTGGGTCCTCAAAGAAACTTAGTCAAGCATGGTAGTGCATGCCTGTAATCTCAGCACTTGGGAGTCTGAGGCAAGAGGATTACTGCAAATTCAGAGCCAGCCTGGGCTACAGAGTGAGTTCAAGGCCAGTCTGAACCGTAGTCTCAAAGAAAAAAAAAAAAGTAAAACAGAACAGAACAACAGCAAAAAGAAACCGTTTTGATCAATAAACTTCAGATCAGATACCTACAAACTCTGTGAACTGCTCGGTTGAGGATTCAGTCTAATGTTGGCCAAATAAACTAAGTGTGGTGGGGCACACCCATAATATCAGAAATTTGCAAGGCTAAGGCAGGAGGGCCACAAGTTTGATACCACCTAGGCAATTTAATGAGATTGTCTTAAAATAAAAAAAGGCTGGAGATGTAGCTCAGTGACAAGGCCCTAGGCTCAATCCTCAGTATGGAAAAAAATTGGCCAGCCTTCCTGCCCAACAATATAGTACATGGTGGCTACACTGTATCTGTCCCAGTGCACAAAGCCCTGGACCAGGCATCTCTGGTACAACGACATTAATAACCCACTTCCCAGGATCCTTCCTGCGTGGTGGCAACCCTTTATGAGATAAGCCAAATCTCAGTACCCTAAGGACATCACAACTGGAAGGAACTGGGGTGCGGAGGCGTCAATCAGGACAAGAGAGACATCCTGCAGCAGAAGCACCAACCAGACTGGCTGCCCTCTGGGCTTTGCCTCTGGTCCAGACTTGATAATAGAGGTCCCATCCAGAAGAAGCCTGCACAACCCAGTCTCCGTTTCCTGTCATAATCGCTAAGCAGGCCCAGACCCCCAGGAGACCTTTCCTCCATCAGAAAGCACCAGGGAACGTTCCAACTCAACCCTGCCTGTCCCCAGGCTGTTGCTTTTTAGACAGTGTTGCTGTGTTGCCCAGGCTGGCCTCAAATTCCTGGGCTCGAGCAATACTCCTGCCTCAGCCTCCTGAGTAACTAGGAACTACAAGTATGTGCAACTATTCCCAGCCCCCAACTAATTCTTCTGCCTGAATTGGTGTTTGTTTTTCAATACTAGGAATCAAACCCAGGGCCTGGTAAAGGGAAGGCAAGTGCTCTGCCACTGAGCTCTTAATCAGAAGCTTCTTAACCTCGAAGACTCCCTTCACCATGAAGACCAGGAGCTCCCATGAAGACCAGGAGCTCCCAGGGTGAGTGTGCCCTGAGGGAAGCAGGCTAAGCACAGCTTGGCCAGGACCAGGACAAGCAGTTGGGCTCACAGCAGGAGACTGAGGTGTGTTCCAAGGAGCCCAGCTTCGTTCCACCCACTCCCTGGGGCTGGGATCTGAGAGAAGCAGCCAGGGTCTGGTCTGTCTGATCTAGGCCTGGCTATGCGACCTTGACAGGTGGCCCCACTGTCTGAGCCCCCTCTGGGGAGAGAAGAGTGAGTGGCCCGGGTACCTGAGGGATAAACATAAGGATGGGAGCAAATCTTGGAGGACACCAAGGGTGACCTGTCGATAGAGAGCCCTACTGATGCACAGACTCACGGGCAGGAGGGAGGGTCTTAGCGTTGGTTCAAGGTAGTGGCACCTTGCTAGATAGCCCCCTTTTTCTGAGCATCCCCAAAATGAAAAGACTGGTCACTCCCTAGGAGAAGGGCTGCCTCATCATCCCCACAAAGCAACCCTTTACTCATCACTATCCTGCACACCAAGCCCTCAACTGTGTCTGTGTGACCTTCTCACAGAGAGGTCTCTGCTGTCTAGGGTCCCTCTCGGACTCCATGGGGCTGGACTTGAACGTGTCCAGAGACAGACAGCTCTTGCCCCATTCGGTTCTAATCAGAAGCTGGGAGCTGCAGATAACAAGATAAAAGGCCACGTAGGGCTCCTTGTCTAAGCTGACAACCCCATGGAATGTGGAATGCAGAGCCTGGAATAGAATGGCCCTGGTCCTCTGAGACCCTCCCTGGCCAGCCCCCCAATCTCCCATGCATCAGTACATCAGCAGAGGCCCAACCCAGCACTCCTCAGGTTTCTGGAGCTCCGAGATTCAAGGAGATATACCTGCCGTAAACCATCACAACAGTGGTCCCGGAGTTGGACTCCGTATGTCCCGTGAGGCCCTCACTTCAGACGTCTCTGGAGGTGTGGAAACATTTGCCCCGAGGGATGCAAGCTAAGCAGGCTTCTGCCAAAATAAGGCAAGCCGCAGTTTTCCCAACTGCCTGCCCAGCCCCCACCTCAGGCAATCCTGAACCAGCCAGGAGGACTGGTGGTTGTATCCCCAAACCTTGCTCTCCCAACCTGCCCCTCCTTAACTCAGAAGGGCCCAAAGCAGCTTGCAGTGTCCATGTCCCTCCTCAAAGTCCTGTTGGGAGCCCGGGATGAGAAGGAAGCACAGAGATGCTGGCCATAGGGGCTGGCATGGGAAGCCAGCTGCTAATTGGATACCTGAGTGCCAGCTTAGTGGGTGGCTGGGGTGGCTGAAGATGTCATCCCTGCAGTTTCCGCATTTCCAGAACTGTTACTTAGGCCTCAGAAAAATGCTGAGGACAGTGAGCACATATTTGGGGCATGTACCATGCACCAAGACTTGGCGGGTAATAGGAAGGGGTCAGACACAGCCCCAGGTCTCAAAGTCAGACTCTCAAAGGGCCAAGACATGAGCAAACGCAAGTGTACAGAACACCAAGCAGAGCCATGGGAGCGCCATGTTGATGGAGGCTCCCTGCACCCTGCTGGGCTTGCTTCGCTTGCTTCCTCATCCATTTGCACTTGCAGCTGTGGAGATCCCAGAGGCCACAGCTTCACTTCTGTGTTCGAAGTTTCTGCCTGGCTCAACCGCTTGCTTCCTTCTCTCACCTCAGCCTCTTACTTACTAATCCGACATCCAAGGCTGGGTGACTTGGGCGTCATTCTCAGGTCCCTGCCTCATACTGACATTTGTTTGCTACATCTTTTTTTGTTGTTAATTGGTACCAGGGATCGAACTCACAACCGCCTACTTACAAGGCAGGCGCTTATGCCACTGAGCTAAATCCTCAGCCCTGTTTGCTACATCTCACAGACTCCTCACAACCTATCTGCCCAGTGCTGTCACCCCCACTCACAGATGACACAAGCAGGAACCCAAAGCTTGCTCAGGTGACCAGAGTGACCACAGAGGCTGGGCACCTACGTGGTGCTGACTGGCTCCAGATTGGGGCTCCTTGCTTTACTACCCTGTCTCCCCGACCCAGACCTGAGACATCTTTACCAACCCCCAGGATGCAGGCTTCGTGCTATTAGGTCATGTGAAGAAAGGAGGAGCCCAGTGCCCACTGCACTTGACACAGGAGGCGGCAGGGCACCAGCACAAGACCGCAACAGGCAGCGACATGAAGCACCTGTGCGGCAAACTCACACAGTTCTTTCAAGAAGTTAAGGTGCAGCAGGTGTGGCGGGGGCGTGTCCTGCACACTTTCTGTGATAACATTTATTTTATGCACACACAGGCCCTCCTGGATTTGGTGTAGGTGTGGCAGGGGTTGCTTTTGTTGTTATCTTTGGTCATCCTTTGCTTCTTTGAAGAGATGTGTTAAGAATGGAAGAAATTTAAGGTATTTAAAAAAAAAATGACAGTGTCCGCTGGGCATAGTGACCCATACCTGTAATCTCAGCCATTTGGAAAGCTGAGGCAGAGGATTGCAAGTTCAAGGCCAGCCTGGCCAACTCAGTGAGACCCTATGTCAAAAGTAAAGATTAGTACTAATAATTTTTAAAAATGGCTGGGGATAGAGCTCAGTGGTACAGCATTCCAGGGTTCCATCTGTAATACAGAAAAGAAATGACAATCTTCATATTTTTTATTTTGTCCTAAACAAATCTGATTTCACCTACTGATCCGGTATCATTATCAATCTTAATCACTCCCCTTTCTCTCTCAAAGCAGAATTTCAGGTTGAGTATCCCTTATCTGAAGTACCTGGGACCACAAGGGCTTAGGATTTCACATTTTATCAGATTTTGGAATGTCGGCATATCTTGGGCTGGAAACCAAGACTAAGCATAGAATGCATTTAGGTGACACATTGTGTACATAGCTGCCTACAGGTAAAACTATACAAATTCTTTTTTAAGTACTAGAGATCAAACCTAGGGCTTTGGTCATGTTAGGGAAGAGCTCTAACACAGAGCCACATTCCTTCCCCTGCATAAATATTTTTAATAATTTTTTCCATGAAACAAAAGTTTGTGTACAGTAAACTGTAAGATTTGTGGCATCATGTCAGCCCTCAAGTTTTGCATTTTGGAGAACTGGGATTTCACATTTTCAGATTAAGGTTGCCTGGTTTGTGTAGAGTCACTCTATGTTAAGTTGCTAATGGCAACTCAGGCGCCTATAATCCTAGTGTTCTGGTGGCTAAAACATGAAGACTGAAAGTTCAAGTCAAGCCTGAGCAAGTTAGTGACTCAGTAAGACCCTGTCTCATAATAATAATATAAAAAATTAAAAAGGGCTGGAGTGTCATAGTGTGAAGGCCCTGGGTTCAATCCCAAGTATCTCAAAAAGTAAAAATCTGAAAAACAAGCTCACAGTGAAGATCAAAATCAGGTTGAGAAGAGTAGATACAAACGATTAAAATCAGCTTTTCTCCAACTGTACTTTAGCCCTGTAAGCATCAGCAGAGAGCTTGAGCAGAGACCATGCTGGGCCTGCCCCCTTCCAGCTTCCCAGCAGGTGCTTCTGTGGGTGGGGCCTAGAAGTCTGCAGGGATGAGAGTGTCGAATTTCCTTAAAGGCATCCTGACTGTGATTCTTTGGGGGGCATCAAGAAGGAAGACCCTGGGTTAAAGGAAGCCATAG